TGATCATTTAAATAATAGTCCATTATACAGATCTTAATAGAAGTAGCTGATGGTATTTTTGTATCTGGTGCTAATATTTGTATGAAAGTAAGGAAAGCCAGTTATTGGACAATTGTAAAAGATTACTGATTAATAATGATCTATTGAACAAGTTTTTTTTTCATTTTTGTTAAGTCGTATGTTCACTATATATAAATACAAAAAATTAATCGTATTTTTTTTTAAAAATTTAAAAATTATTTGAAATTACTTTCATTTTAAAAAAATTGGCAATTTTAGTGTTACCAGTTATTATATTTAATTTTGTCAGATGAGTTTTTTCAAGATATTTCATTAAATTAGAAGTATTGCCTTCACTACAAGTATATATTGTCTTGCAATATTTACAGATAACCTTTTTGTCCTCTTTAAAACTTGTACTCCTTATAAAGTATTCCTATATTTTACTTCTAGAAATTGTTGAGATAGTTGAGGCTGATTCTAATAGATTGCTTGTATTAGCATTTTCAATATCAATATTGTCATAGTTAGTTAAACTGCTACTTTCATCGTATACAAATTGTATACTATCAAATGAGTTTTCATATTCTATTTTTAAAAGAAATAAATTAGCAAAAGCAATGGATAAGATGAAAGTAATTAAGCAGTAAAACTATAATATCACAAAAAAATGTTTAAAAAATCATCAAAAAAGCAAGTATTGAATTTTTTTAAAAGTATACACTTTCTCTACTAAAGGCAAGAAGGTTTTAAGAAGTAAAAGGACTAATAAGTGAAGTATCACTTCATAGAGCTAGAAGTAACAAGAAATAGAAGTTATATTGACAAGAAAAGATTATTATCTATCTTATCATATATTGTTTTATATTTTCTTAAAGTACTTATTATTTTTTACAGTTTTCTTGAGGGATTTTACCTATTTCAGTTTGACCTTGAATTTCTGATAACACAATATTACCTAATATCTGATTGATTAATATGAAACATGTTAGTAACTGAATGTAAACAAGTTTCCATTAGTTATCTCACATGTTTCAATGCCATTATTGGTGATTGAAAAAGTTAACTGGTATTCTGTGTCTATTCTATTCCTCCAATTAGGTTAACTTACAGATCAAGTTCCATAAGATTAATAAGATACAAGTAACAAGTTTCCAGGTGATAAAAAAGCTACTATTTGTTTAAGCTGAGATCTTTTTCTCCTATTATCTCAATCAGGTAAAGTTCAAGGCCAAGGTCTTCCTCTTATTCTGATTAGGTAATAATATTGAATAGTTTTTTGTCTATACTAAGCTCTAACCCTTTAGTTATAGTTGAGAATGTATTTTTTTGGAAGTTGTTAAAGGATATCACAATCAATAAGGATTTGTATTACTTTTAAGACCCTCTCAACATTACAAGGCAGAAGAATTATTTGAAAATTTGATCTTTTGATTAATAAAAGATGTATATCAGCAAAATTCCTTTAACTAGGCATGGCTGTTGAAAGGTATCATACTAAAACAATATGACCTAGTCTTTATTAGGTTATATAAGAACCTGGGATTCATCATAAGTCATCTTTTTATTGCAGATAGATAAAAAATCGCTGTCTAAAGAAGATTAAAACCAAGTATATCCTGGAAGTAAAGACTTTTACTAGATAATAGGTCTCCTTAAATAATATATGAGAAGAAAATCAAAATAAAGAATGAATAAGTTTTTCAAATGGTTAGGAAAAGAAAGAATATCCCAATTAGATATTTCTTATTAAGAAGAGGTCCTAAGAGCAAGTCTTTGGAAAAAAAAAATTTTTTTTTCAATTTTTATTTTTTCAGTTTCTTGTTATCTATTTAGATATTTTTAGATATTCACTTTCTCTTTTTCTTCAACTTATCCTTTTGTAGTTTCCTGTATTCTAGTAGCTTGATCAGATATATAGTGATGATAATCTGCTGACAATGATGTAGTGGATTAGAGAGTTTTCACTCAAAGACACTATGGAGCAAAATATTGTTCCCAAGGCTAAATTTAGAGGCTTTTATGCTTACAATTAGTTAATTAGATTAGAATGATAGTTTGGCTATAGTATATATCATATTGCTCAAATGAAAATATACTTATATTTTTAATTAATTAATAAACTGACAATCTAACCTGATTACAGGTATTCAAAAAAAAAAAAAACAATAACTTTAGATTTATTATAAATCATTAGCCTATTGCAGGTGAATACAAAATTATTGTTTAAAAAAAGTTGAGACTAAATATATTTTTAGAAATAAAGATTTCTAGTAGATAAAAAGTCTTTTCAAATAACATATAAAATAATAATATATTGTATACATAATATCAATAATATGCAAAAAATAAATAAGTTTTTCAAATGATCAGAAGAAGAAAAATCATTTAAATAAACAATTTTTTATTGAAAAAAGATTTTGTGTATTTCTTTACTTTTTTTCAATATATCTTCTTTATAATTTCTTGTATTTTAATGACTTGATAGAATATATGATAGTTGACAATAATACATCAAATAGGAGAGTTTTAATTCAAAATCCATTATAAAATGAAATATTGTTTTCAAGGTCAAACTTAGAAGCTATTATTGCTTGATTAGAAAAGTTTAGTTATAGTATACTATATATCATATATAAAGAATGAACTATAATACATAAATATTAAATGAGTTTATAGAATATGTTTCAATATTCAATTATTAGGATACATATGTTTCGCAAATTCATATGAAAAGCGTTTAACCATATTAAAACAACTATTTATTATATTTCAAAGTCTATGAATAATCGTCGGTAAGTATTGATTCTGGATTTTATGTGAAAAGTATATTCGTTAAACTTGATCCTTAAAATTCATGTGTTTGCACGTTTATGCGAAGTATTTTAACTACACCAATAGAGTATCATGTGTCTAGGATAAGCTTAAAGTCATTGATTAAAGAAAAATTTAATTGAAAAGAAAATAAAACTTTATATCAAGTTATGAATAGTCAAATTTTAATCATAAATTGTTATCTATAATACTTGATCATTAATTGAGGTATATTATCACGAAATTGGCAAATGAAAGAAAAAAAATTTATGGCTAGCTTTATTTTTACAATGGTCGCAATTTGATTGGCCAATAAAATCACTGTTTTAAAGAGTGCTGCATTCAAGGTCTCACCATTTGGACAACCTTATAAAAAATTTGTAAAATGTATATTGTCTTGGGTTATATTTGTTATACTCTCAGAATAAAATTTAATTCAGGCCTAAAGCTTTCGTTCGAGTCTCGACATAATGCCGTTGTAAAAACAACTTCGGAAAGTATTTTAGAAGAAATGACACGTGAAATGATAAGCAGTGATTTCGCTCCAGAGCCAGACGGTAATAGCATTGACAAAAAAGAACTTGCCGAGGATGACTTGAGTTCGAGAATAAAAGCGGGTTTTGAAAAAGATAGTGTAATTACAACAAAAAAATTAATCGATTATGACGAAAGTGAGGATGAAATTGAATGGAATATAAGCCATTACAACGACTCTACCATATATCATGAGAATGGATCAGAAACGAGTACGGCGAAGAAAAACAAATTTGACAGCGAAAAATTTTACCCATTCGAAGCGTCAGGACAAATTCAGGATAAAAAAAATAAAAGTAAATTTGAAAGCCAGGAGGAGATAAGACTGAATGAATTCAACAGCAATGGGTTCGGGCATGATTCAGAATCGAATGATATCAATAAAGATGACTTCTTCTTCGCAAGTTTCCCGATATTTTTTTTTTAAAAAATTAAAAAACAATCATCTATTTAGTCTAACTGCTCATAATGAATTTCTATTTTTTACAGAAAACAATTTACAGTCAATATATAAATCAAAATCAGGATGATGAGTATGATAATTTTTGCTATGAAAAAAAATCCAACCAATTGGTTAATCCAGGTATCTATTAATGTCATCCCGTGCTCTTGTACATAAAAATTTAACTGATGTCCACCGTGAAACTTTAGCCCAAATTCAGACAGTACCAACAATGAAGAAACCGGAAGATGTCGGGAAAATATTCTCTAATGCGTGCATTCAAGCATCATTACTCGATAACGGCAGACGACGTTACGCGGAAACTAGTACGGAGGCGATTGTGACCGGACAAGGTATTTGTTT